GATTTGTACTCCACAAATCTCAGCCGATACCTCGCACAATTCGAGTAACGTCTCGCATCTATTATCGTGACGTCATGGCTCGCTGGCTCACACCATGGAGGAATAAATAAGAAGGAGATGGTTCGCCTTTATCGCTTAATCTTAATCCAGTAAACAGTGAAAATTTTCTATGCTACAACACTACACTTGACACCACTGTTATCAGTTGCGGCTACGTTTGTGTATACACCAACGCACCGGCCGTGGCAGAGATTATTTCTGACCTCTATCGACGGGTTAACGTTGTATGGAGTAAATATTTTACAAACCTAAGTATAAATGCCCAAAAAAGGCAAGACTTGCCTTAAATCCAGTCGTTTTTAATGCTATTTAAATTAGCTTTTTCTGCCAAGCATTTTAATACAAAGATCGTGAAAATTGACTAAGAAGAAGGGAAGTTAATCAACAAATCGCACTTGTGATCAAATAAGACGCTGGCTTGCACTTTGGCAACACTCTTTGGAAACTTGTCCCATAAAAAATATACACTTCCTAGGCTAGACCATGCAGTCTTCAAAATAAAAATTGTAACCTTTGGTAAACAACTAAATTTTCCACATACATAGAAATTTTTGAAACTTTATTAAAAAAAACCTAAACCATAATTCACCACTATAGACACTTTTTGACAAAAATGAAAAATTACGACTTTTTTACTCAATGAGAAGTGTTCTAATATAGACAATGGGTCGTGTCTCATATTATTTGTTATATTTTTATTATTCATTATTTTCACTTGACTCGCATAAATAATTTTGTTCGAAGAACATTTATATGCAGTTGTACTTCGCAGCACTTCACTTGCAATTTGCAATTTCTAGTTCAGTAATTGTATATTGCACCTCCCTGACATGTGTGACGTATGTTTGCGTGTATAATAGTATGCAAGATATTGACATTTAGGGAGCTTTCGATTTGTGCAACGATGCGACGCTATAACGGAACCACTCATGCATGACCGTCCTACCTGGCATCCTACGTTCTCTGCATGCGTAGATTAGGCCAAATTGCGTTCCAGAATGTACTTGACGAGGTGACCTTAACGTTCTCGCATGCGCAGATGACTTTTACTGACGTCATTACGTTCTACGGCCTACCGTCGTCGTGCAATCGAAAGCTACCTATTGTCTATAGAACCTGGGTTACTATCATTTTAGAGGTTAATGGAAACAATGTCAAACATCTGTAACGATCTTCATATTTAGGAAGGAACCATCTAAACGTGGAATGATCAAAAGATTGAGTAATTGTATTGGTGCAGGGTAGCTATCATGATCTAGCAATAATCTTAAGCAGATAAACTACATAACACATTTCTTGGGGAAGGGCAGAGGTTGAAGAATTTTTCAAATAGAATACCTAAACCAATATGGCTGTTTATGAATCAAGATTACATTCTCATAATATGCTAAAGCCTTACGTGTTCTGTAATAGTCTACAAAAATATGCATATAATTTACATGTATAATTTAAGATTGTCTACCCTAAATTATACTGGTATATTGCTTTTATAGCTAGTTATGAATAATAAATTGGAATGAAACAAAATGAAATCAACTGACTGTCGATTGACCCTTATGCAGGAATACTTTACTTTACTTTTAAACCTTAGTTACTCCCAAGTGTTTCCATGACTCATTAGAACTAACATTAATATTTACATCACAGTAAACATATAATTAATTTTAAAATGCCATGGCAGGTACGTCTAACATAAATAATGCTATGTAAAATCTTAGCAACTACAGGACGAATAGCAAATGATGTTTATATTTCTATAGTATACAGTAATAGTGGGATGAATAAGGGTTCGGCAGAAATATAACCTTTGTGGCTGCTCCTTTTAAATGGGACACATAGTGTATTGTAGACTGCTGGCTGCATTATGCTAATGATTCAATGCTTTTTTTTTCTTACAGTAACATTGCACATTGCAATCACGTTTTCCTCTCTGATCCTTTGGGTCTAAGTCATTCATTTCGAAATATAAATATAATAGATTCATAGATGTGAATATCATATTATACGTTATATAAGCAATACCGTCAAGTGAATGCTAAATCCAAGGACATTTAGAAATTATGAAATATCTTCAACTTTTTTATTAATAATGTAAGGTAAATACAATTTCCAGGATTGTGTAGCTAGGACGTTTTGGCCGGTCACCTCTAGTGGAGAATTGGGAAGGGCAACATGAGACAATTCCTCCTCTACTGGACATACTGTACATTCTCTTTTTACGGCATCTCTTCCGACTTGCAAAGTCAGCAGATGGCGGGCTAAACATGAGCTCACACAAAGCGCAGACAGATTCTTCGTGGACAGTTGGCTAATGCAGTACGCAACAAGCTTCATAAATAGCCAGTCACTTACAATTACATGAGAAATTCTTTTTTTAATACTTGCACTAAATGCATGAGAGCAAGTACCATACCAGTATAATGAAGATTGGTATATTAATGACCTGGCAACCAGAAGACTATTATTTATTGATGGGATTTTCGGGATTAGAAGAGAAGAGCAAATTATAATCGAATACTGAATGGTGAAATAATTCATTGTCCAACATAAAAGAAGGAAATGCATTGGAAACTGGCAAAACATTTAAACTCACAGTACTGAATATCAAAATGTTTAATCGGACCTTTCTTGCATTTTTTTCCCCATTCGCTTAACAAATTACTAAACTACTGTACTCATCGGAAATTTACAAGTACCCTAGACAGCTAATTATGATGCTGTCTGATTTATACAGAGCCTACTTTCGCTATTTCTGACACTTGTCGGGAAAACAGGTCAAATTAAAGCTATTTACAGAGTACAAGTGGACGGATATAAATCTCAACAATTTCACTTAGAAACATGTCTGCTCTAATGATCTGCGTCAATTTTTTCAGGAAAATAATTATGAGATGCAATTTTCGAAAAAATACTGATAAATTTGTGTCTTTCCTTCAATATTACAGTCTTAATTCACAACCAAACAAGCAATTAGATAAACAAATGATGAAATTATACATATTTTTAGTATAACAGAAACAACATGCACATCATCTTGGCCCTCTTCTGTTTGGTCTGTTGAAGTTTGATAGAAACTCTATTAAGGTCCATTACATAACTTTTAAATATACTTTTTTATTCTGTGATGAACTGATTTTACCAGACTAGTATGGCTCAATTCATTATAAGAATATAATATAGAAGTGTAAAGATTATCAGAGTAGATATTATCAATTGTAAAATTGACTACAACTCATTAATCATTATTTTTCCATAAAAAATATGACATACTATTTTATTTTGAAAATTTTAGTACGGTACACTATAAAATTAATAAGGAACACTCCAATATAATATAATACATACTGTAAAATATAATATAAAACATACGGTAATATAATACGGTAAAATCGTATATAATGGCCTATAACTTCATAAAAAATTGCCAAAAAACGATTTTAAGGTTGATTCTATTACTAATGGCATATCAAAAATCCCCTCTAGAACAAAAAATCATTTTGCTAGTTCTCTTTTAATATATATATTATGATCAGTAAGATACAGTCATTACCTGTGTACAAAAATAAAATGTGATTTTATTTTCCAAGTAGGGAGAGTAACAAAATTCTATTGCGGAAATAACCTTGAAAATTAAAATCATTAAATTGATTCTGCTAATTGAAGTATCTCTGCAAAGAATGGATGGTACTGTCTATGCATCTGTTAATTGGCGACGGAAATATTTCCTCACTCCAATTTTCAATTGAAACATTATGCCATAAGACAAATGCTTAAATAATCAATTAAAATACTGTAAAGCCCTTTATTTTCGCTGCCTTTTATTTTTGCGATTTCACAATTTGAAATATTTCGCATCCAACATTGTACAGAAATCTACCATTTTGTTTTTTTGGCCTATATGATAGCTGGAACACACAACTTTGGTGAGTTTCTCCTTAATATTTTCAGAATATGAATATGGATGACATTATTCATTTATAATACTGTATAATAATAACATTTTATTGGTAAATGCAAACAGTGTAGTAATAAGATGGTTAAATGCTTTAAATTTATATAATTAGGAAGAAATATACATCTTATTTCTTGAGATTTCAAGGCAGCAGCGGGTATAATAAAAATTAAGAAAATTTTTCTGAAATTTCCATTTTTTCGTGGCAATGGGTGTACTAATTGTCCAAAAATAAAATTTTATTTTTATTCGAAATCATCATCCATAGCTTCACATGCCATTAAGTAATATTAAGGACATTTAGGACAATTGTATACAGGTTGAATCTATTTAGGTACAACAGACTCCCTTGGTAAATAAACCATTCTAAATCAAGGTTGAATTATGCTATTTACATTACTCTTCAAATAATTGGAAATAGGTTATTTCCTCTGTTCTTCCTGGACAAGCTCACCATGTGTGGCCAACTAAGTTTTTAGGGTCAGTCAAAATATCCTTCTGAATTTGTGTACCTACATTTTTTATTGCATATACGGTCAAAGTGGACGGTCCGAAGGGTGGTCGGTATTGGGAGAGTTGACTGTATTATTGTATTTTTAATCAAGGGGTGCAAAATATAGAAGTTACATAGTAACTACTCTATATTTCATTTAAGTCTCAAAAGAAATTGGATACTAAACTGTGATATTCCTCTATGATACAATAAGTTTTTAATTCTAATTTGCTAAGTAAATGTAAATTTCTCTTGCAATTGTAGATTTATCGCTATCACCACCTAGCTAATTTCCAAGCACAGCACTAACCTTCTAATACAATTGCCTTTGTAGTGGATTTATATGGATTACCTAAACTCTGTGAGACACAAGCAGATGAATAAGGGAAAGAGAATTATTCAGGGGGCTTGTCTAATACTTAAGTTAGACTTAAAATACCTACAGTATTTGAAATAAAACAAAT